ACTTTTTATGTTTATTCAGATTATTAAGTTGATATTAAGTTGATGTTTTTTTCTTAGTACAATTGGAGCTACTAGGAGGGCTATTAACTTACAGAATCTTAACTTTACAACTTATTTGTAAACATAAACCTTCCTAACTACACTTTACTCACATTTACCCACAATTATTGTGTCTATTGTACTGTAAAATACTTTACCAATGTAATATGATAATACTTTATTCAAACACTATTTCGAACCAAATAAGTATTTAAAAGTTCTATCAATACCAAAATAGCATCAAAGCTTTTGATGGAATCTCTACAAAGTTCAAACTTAATATGCAAACGAAAGCAATTAAGTTAGTGAACTTTAAAGCAACTACCAATAACTTAACACATTTTAGAAGTTTATGTTGGTCTTTTTTCCCGACAAGTTCAAGTTTAGTTTAATTAAAACCCAAGTTTAAGAGATTGTCAAGCTCTCCCCGTAGCTTGTCAAAAGCGGTTTGCACTGTTTCACAATGTTAAACCTCAAACTTGTAGACTATAGTTAACCCTAAACACAATTTGACGTTTTACGTAGCTGTGCAAGTTTGTGTTTTTGTTTGGATTATGTAAAGTACATTTTGATGTGTAATATTAATTCTCGTTCGCAAACTTGTTGAAATAAACGCAGGTTTACACGCTTGTAACAAAAATACATCAAAAATTGATAATTTTTACTAGACGTATCGCGCTACCGGACACATATATATGGATTTGTACGAATGGGCTTTTGGGCTTTGGGGACGTCAAAAAAAGTAAATCGGTCCCGGTTTTTATCAAAAGACCTACAGTGATAGTTTATCCCCAATGGGAAATTCACCAAAATGCAGTAAAGTTGATTTCTACGGTAAAAGACTTCATTTACGACTTAATTCACTTAATTGAATTACAACTTAATTCAATAAAAATTATCGTTTATTAATGACTATAACCTGATATAGGGTAATCAATCTTTGCTCTAATAATTCGTTATTATTCTACTTATAGTTATAAATATAAGGATTATTCATACAACTAACTGTTTTAATTCATTTAGTTTTTATCAGGAGTGGGGCTTGTGTAGTGTTTAAAAGCCCGAGACTTCTCCCATGAAGGCCAGTGTACGAATCTGGCCAAAAGCTAAGGACTTTTAGCTATCCGACAATATTGTGACTCAGTGGCACTGAGCAAATACTTAGCTGTAGGTATAAATACAATGGGACCCCGATAACAAGTCACCCTTAATAACAAGTGTCATTTTAAAATCCTTTAAAATGATCATACCTTTTATCGCATGTTTTGCAAACCTCGATAAGAAGTCAACCTTGATAAAAAGCCTTATACAATTTTCCCATGCTCTCCATGGGGATGAGAGTCTTGTTATCGAGGTTCTACTATATTTAGAAAAAAAACACGACCCTTATGTGCAGAAATCTCTCTGTATTCGAAAACTCTCTTAACAAAAAGCCACACAAAATCAATAGAAAACGTTAAACTATCAAACTAGTTTAGTAATTCAAAAGACATAAATTTCAATGTTCAACCATTTGAGGTAGCAAAATTGTATGGTAAAACATTGAATAGTTTAAAAGACGAAAAGACGTCCTCTAAATAGTCGTAAACTTTGGGTAAAAAAATGAAATATACACGAAATTCCAAGGCCTGGTGAAAACATCGTCGCGTTCCCAAAATAATGTCGCCCAATGTGAGATATGAGGGAAATTAAGTAAATCTATGCGGCGCTCATTCTTTATAGCTTTCACTTGGGGTGTTTTATTCATTACAACCGCATCTGACTCATTGTAGGATCGAAGAGCTGTTAAAATATTCGATGTTTAGGGCTGCTTTGTTCATAGAAAAATAATATATTAAGAAATCTTAGTTGGCAGATAAATGAACACCAATGTTTTTAAATTTGATTTTACTTTGCCTATATTATAACAAAGGGTAATAGAGTGAAATTTTCATATAAAGTAAAAGGAAAGTGCATCTTTTATGTAGTGTTTAAAAGCTGTAAAAAACCAACAACAGTTCATATAGTTGAACATTTTCCTTATTATAATTTTAATGTAGTAGGGTGTGGCTTGGTGTGGTCATATCTTTAACAATTTAATGTCGCATGCAAAATGTGGGGCAATAAACAACGTTTATACCTTTTTGCTCTTAAAGACAAACTTAATTACATTTCGCTATTATATTTTACTACACCAACAAAACAGTTCTAGTTAACGATATATTTCTATAACAAATTAATTATTAATCGGATTCGTAAAATCCATAATTCGATTTAGACATAATTTGACCTTTTGAGGCTTTGTAAACTCATAAGAGTAAATGTTTTTATGGAATAAAAATAAAGTAGGTAGTTTTAGAATTAGGGGTAACATATTTAAAATTACAGCTTTAAAATTCTTAGTTTTATGGATAACTTTTTGAAGCATTATGCAAAAAAGAATTTTTACTTTAAAATAAATAACCTCATTATCAGCATAGTTCGTGCTATTTAATTACCTGAAAGTACAAAAAAATACGTAAAATAATACTTGTAATACATATATTTATTTACACTTATACTGTTTGATGATTAGCTGAAAATGCCAATGCTAACAAAGTATTGCTTACTTTGAAAGTAGGTTTAAAAATTAATCCAAAAGTAAATGAGAAAAGAATCACTTTCATGTCACCTTTGGAATGTTCAATTTGCCCTCGCCATAAGGTCTAAAATATATCTCTACTAAAATAATAATTTGATTAGGCGGCACTTTTAATTCGAGTAGCTATAGAACAACACACCCATAGAACCAAGAATAAGACACGGGACGATATTATTTCAGGTTGTACAATATTTTCTCTACAATATGGCAAGTCGCATGTTCCGTTGCGTTGTTCACATATTCAAGCACCTTCTTTATAAAATAGTGTCTATAATTGATTAAAAATGTTGAATACGACTTGCAAAGGTCACAAAACCAAAAAATTATTTTGACTCATATTTGACAGCCTGAACGATTTTGATTAAAATGTAGTATGTTATGGTTATTTTAACTCTAAACAAAATGGCAAAACCTAACGCTGTAAAAATTGCAGTCAAAAGTTATTGCAACTTTTTTTTGCTCGTATATACGCCAGTGGCATTTTTGTAATGAAGTCAAACACTTTTAAGGGAAAGCGGTCCAAACCCATTAAAGTTTTGTGGATGTGCCGGGGATTGAACCCGTCCCTCCCGCACCGAAGTCCGAGACGCTAACCGCTAGGCTAGCAACACACCCCTGCCATAAAAAAAATACTACTGGGTACTTCTTACTAAGTGAGTGCATTGACTTTTGTGATTTTACCCATGAAACACCATACTTACTCTTACTCACCACTTACAAATTATAAGGGGTTGTTGACAGGCTAACGGGAGAAAGTATGTGTCAGTGTGCTGATGCCGTTTATTAAAAACCTAATAAATAAAATAAGATCATAAAAATGTATCTAGAACTTTACTTTTATTAGAAGATTCATCATGCAAAATTATCGGGCAAAACTTTGGTTATTTAGCCTAAAGGCTATTCCAATCGAGATGCAATACTCAGTCAGTTAAGCTCCTGCAAGACATGTCTTCATAAGGCTTCAAGAAAATATTTTATCTGATAAAGATATTGAATCAAACCATGAGCCACATCACTGCTATTTAATTCAATGTAAAAAGGTGCTGCAATTATGTAACCTGCATATTTTGTCTTAAAACAAATATTTATTAATTTTGTCCATATTTTAAAAAATCTTATCAATTTGGATTTTTGTTTTTTAACACGATGACAGGAAATTTAATTCATTGAGCATTATTAAATTAATTAAAAATACCCATGTGGATCAACGGGGAACACCAATTATAAAGTATAGTAGTCACAACCTCATACACTCCTTACATTCTTAGGGTTCAAAATTTTTATAACATTATAATAGTAAAACTGACAAAAATAAAATGACTGAAAAATGAAATCACTGCAATGAGCACACAAAAAATAAAACACGTTTGATAGGGTATTTGTGTGTGAATGATGTGGATATTCCTTAAAAAAAAAAATGGAAAATTCGGATCTAAATCAGCATTTGTATATACATTTAAATTGTTATTAAACTATTTATATCCATAGCAACATAATTTATTGTATCATTGCCACTGGACGAGTAAGTAAAACTAAAATTGATCTACAGAGAAAAATAGAAATAGCAAAATGTACTACATGTTAGGAGCTGTTGTGTGAGTATACTATTTATTTCGCTTTGTATAGTAAGTAATAGTATTTTTATCACCTACAGATTTCTGGTATGTTGCATCTGTTTCTATTTTTTTCATTGTTATCAGATCTTTTCATTAAATCAAACAATACCACCTCAAACCTCATTATAATCATTATACCACTTCAGGTGTTCCTAAAACATTTAAATTTTAGGGGGGAAAGTTCTTTCTCCGTATAAAGCTGCTAGCTTTATGTTCCTGCTAACGAATTCAGCCAGAATGTTTGAGTTTTTGTTCGAATTGTTTTTCAGTTATCTTTTGAGTGCTTTTTTGTCTATATTTCTACAATAGGTTGAAACATAATATATGTATGATCTTTTAGGTAGAAGTTCTAATTTAAAGTAATAAATCACCATGCCTTTGTTTAGCTAATAAAGGGCTTAACATCACTTTTTGTATGTATGTAAATAAATAGTATAAGACATTTAAGGTGCTAATTTATTCTGCTGTATTAATTCTTAAGTAGACTATAATATGTTTGACAAATGTAATCAAATATTTTAATAAATCAACTTTTGCAATCAAGTTATTAAAAGCTTAGTAACATATCCCAGATATATGGATTTGAATTCATTCATCTAGGATGAACATAAGTTGCTAACAATTCTAATTAAAGAGGATTTTTTCAGGAATCACCCATTCTTGGCAACATGTATGGTGTTTTACAGTCTCTGTGCAAATTTTGCAATCCATTATGGTCAATCTGATCAGTCCAGCAATGAAGACACAGAAAGTCTTAGAAGCAGTTGTTCACCGAGTTCAATTTCTGAATATTCTGAATCTGAATCCAACACCAACGCTGAGTGTTCATCTGTTGGGAGTGTTGATTCTAATGCAACCATTTCTAGTGGAGAGTTTCCTGAAGATTGGTCCAGTGACTGAATTCCTACAAAATCATTGTTTATATTCTATATCCAATAAAAACCGAACCATGTAAAACCATAAAAATTGACAATAAAGAATAAACAATACAAAATCCAAATTGAATGTATATTCTTGGTGACCAATAACAAATTTACTACGTTTAAGGTTCTGTTCTAGCCAAAAACGTTATACTCCATACAAGCTAAATACACCCAAGTTGTGATGTGTTGTGTGAAATGATATATTGCTTCAAATATTGTGGCGTTCCACATCATGCAGTACATTACTCTTGTGCTAGTCGCTGTTTTACGTTTGTACCTTATTTATTGGGTTATTTGGACCGTAAACCATATAAAATCCGGGTGTATCTTTTTGTTTAAAAATATCAAATTCGATCACCCTCTCTCTACAAATGCCTTAGTCGAATTGGTGGGAAATAAGGGGCAGGATTCAGATTTATTACTTGTTTTTGTATTTTTTAAATCAATAAGTATGAGCAGCTGGGCATATGTCCAACAAAAAATTAAAGAATGATTTATGTATAATGAAAGGAGATGTTTTCGTTGTATGGTGCATATACTACGTTCATCTACTTCTTAACTCATAATTGATCGAAGCCCCAATTTAAGGACAGCTAGGTCCAGTTTTAAACCAAAGACTGGGATCGAACCGGTGACCATGTGATGGATATTTCTACGTTTAACGATTGGGAAGACTCCAAAATCCCACATTGATTGTGAGTTTGGTCAGCTATAGGAGGAAGATTGCAGATATGTGAAAGCGTAATAATCTATAGGGGATGAAACGTTAGAAAGAAAATCCTTGTAACAAATAAGTTCGCATTTCCGAAAACCGAGTCATAAATCAACGGACCAGTGAACATTGCAGAAAGGCGGGAATGAAAGATAAATGTGCTGAATATAAAGGGTTCGCCAGCACAACTGTGCTTAGCGCTGATTTAGCAGTTTGAAAACAGTTTAGCTTGATGCTATCGTCTTTTCAGTTATTTAAAGTATTTTAGTTAACCCTTTCGTAAACCTACTTGTTGAAACATAGCATTCGTGGAACACCTTTTGAGTTAACAAGAGATATTAAATATTATTGAGCGGGTTTTTTTGTTATGTTGAAAGTTTATTATTAAGTATAAGTAATTTTTTTCCAAAGTACTACAAAGTTTAGTCTCCTGAGCAACACAGCAGTTTTCAAGAATTAATGATTCATCCCGCATGAAACCTCTTAAACAACAGTTGTTTAAAAAAGACCGAGATGCAATACAAATAACATAAACAATAGAAAAAATTGACTAAATCATTCTGATTTTTCTACTGAGGAGCAAAATTCAAGGAAACATCGAACATTTTGCATTACCCCCTTTTGACATAAATACGAGAGTACAAAATACTGTATATTTTCCAATATAAAATCTTACCCACACTCAATTAAACTTCAATTTGTTTGTAGTATTTCATTTACAAAATAATACGTAGTAATGCTTTGTTCACGTACAATTAAAGTAAGCTTCCTTTGTTACCACAAAGGTCTTAAAGAATATTTTATTTTCAAATACATTAAGATCCAATTAACAAAGTCCACTTAAGTGTACGTAATTAAGAGTACGTAGTTAGTTTCAAAAGAAAAAAGACACTTTGACAACGCAGTTAAGAAAGCGTTGCATCAAATACATTATTACTAATTGTGAGCCTGTCCTATGCACGGACTTTTTTTATCTTTCAAGATGAATCTGTTGGGAAATTGTAATATTTCAATAAGGCTTGGACAGTTACAGCTAGACAAAACTTTGTTGTCGTAACAATGTCCTAATAAATTAGTTTTCAAGGCTAATGAGTTAAAGTGTTTTGAATCACGTTATGTCTCTAGCATCAAAAATACTCATGGTTTAGAAAGTCAAAAGCGTAAAATTACAGAGAGAAGAGTGTAAAAAGTAGACAAGGACGAACCCATTGCCAGTCTCAAATCCTTTGACCTGACCAGACTTATCTCCTTTGATTTAACATTACTTTGAAAGGAAAGTTAAATCTGTAAACCAACGTTAAGTGTGATTTGCAAATACAAAACTCAATACAGTAAAAAGGGAGGAAATAGCCACTGGAATATTATTTATATTTAAAATTTATATCTGAAACAAAAAGTTGTAACTGAAAATATTGTATTTCCTCTTAGATGGAACGCTACACTTAATATTTTAATACTTTTCAGGAAAAGGGACGCAAAGTTGTAATTAAAAATTGTTAGTCCTGTGAAAGTATTTTCCAACTATTGTACCTCTTAGAGGTATAAGAGAAATGATATAGCACAAAATGAGTTGTTGTTTGAAAAATGATTGTTTGCAATTTTTTTTAGTAATTCCAAACAAAAATATGCAGTAGTCTAGCAACTAAATTACTAAATTAAAGCAAGGAAGAAACCCAATCACAAAGGGTTAATCTTGTAAAAATATAATTCAATTCTTAAATTACTCAATAGGAAATGTTACTAACTAACTAAATCGACGATGGAGTTGTTCATGCCAACTGATTGTGCAGTTTTGAATTCTTGCAAAATGAAAAAAAAGACTTTAAAGTTATTGGACCATTAGTCTTTTTATTTAAGATAAGTAAAGAACGTGTTTTATTTAGCAAAAAAATGCAAAAGCTCTTACAAAGGAAAAGGCAGGTAATAATAACGCAACGTCTTTAATATCCATGGATTTGTAAAGACAGTGTGAAAACAGTTTTTTGTGTGTATGTATAAATGCCAAAGCCACTAGATCAATGTTTCTCCTAAGGTTCAGTTTAATAACCAAGGAACATAGAAACTCTCTGATGGGTGTGAGAGTGGTTTTAAGGAATTTAATTTGTACTTGGATCTCAGAAGGAGTCTTACTGTGTCAGTTAGGTTTCTGGAGTTCCAATCTTTGAACAGGAAAGTAATTCGCAGAACTGAGGAATCGATTTATCGTCGTGCATTCACGTGGAGGTTCATAAAATCTCCAACTAGGCAATAGCCATAAATCATAACATTAAATAATTATTATCCCTCAAATTATGTTTGAATTATGTATGTTGAAAAATGTATTTCCATACCATAGTTAATTAGAAATTAACTAATAATTAACCATATTGAAATTATTATTCAAACTACTTAGATTAGATATAGAATAAGAGAAAATCATGCTACGTTTGCATTTTATACAGGGTGAGTTTTAATTGTCCCCCCCCCCAACTTTTTTCTACATTTTTTCAAATATCAATCCCAGACCACTTCCAAACATTGTTGGGTAGTAAGTACTTCATTTTGACAAGGTGGCCGTTTCCGGCCGCCATCTTGGATCCGCCATATTGGATGCAAAATTTTTTTTCAAATGTAAAGGTGGGGTTGTGACCCATTATTTTGAATTAAATTTTTACCCTGATTACAATGCCGCAAACCGTTTAAAAAAATCTTGATTCATTCTAAAGTTATGAGGGCTTTTTAAAACTTTATTTTTAGCCCATTTTAACATTGTGCATTTACAAACTAAGACCATAATCTCAAAATAGTGCTAGATAAAGATAAGTATACACTACCAGTAATTGTCGACCTATTTTCACTTGGTTATGACTGATGTATTTTTTTCGGCCGCCATCTTGGATCCGCCATTTTGAAATGTGATAAATTATTTTAAATATGAAGGGGGTATTGTGACCCATCATTTCGAACTACTTTTTTAAGCTGAAGACAATGCCGCAATCCATTTTTTGTTATCAAGTTTTATTTATGAAATATTGAAATTTTTTTGTTAAAAATGTCAATATTTCAAAATCAAAAAATGAAAATGAAAAACGGATCATGGAATTAAGTTCAGCTTAAAAAATTAGTTCGAAATGATGGGTCACAACACCCCCTTCATATTTAAAATAATTTATCACATTTCAAAATGGCGGATCCAAGATGGCGGCCGAAAAAAATACATCAGTCATAACCAAGTGAAAATAGGTCGACAATTACTGGTAGTGTATACTTATCTTTATCTAGCACTATTTTGAGATTATGGTCTTAGTTTGTAAATGCACAATGTTAAAATGGGCTAAAAATAAAGTTTAAAAAAACCCTCATAACTTTAGAATGAATCAAGATTTTTTTAAACGGTTTGCGGCATTGTAATCAAGGTAAAAATTTAGTTCGAAATAATGGGTCACAACCCCACCTTTACATTTGAAAAAAAAATTTTGCATCCAATTTGGCGGATCCAAGATGGCGGCCGGAAATGGCCACCTTGTCAAAATGAAGTACTTACTACCCAACAATGTTTGGAAGTGGTTTGGGATTGATATTTGAAAAAATGTAGAAAAAAGTTGGGGGGGGGGACAATTAAAACTCACCCTGTATAGTTTACTTTTTGTGTAGCATTGCGTGAAAATACGAGAAAAGAAATTCAGTCGTGCGAGATATTTTACTAAATCATTAGAGATAAACAAATACTTTGCTTTGCTCGATATGCAATGACTTACATTTCAAGATTAAAAGAGTGTTATACATTATTTTTCCTACAGTTACCTAACAATGTACATGTTCTCTCACTGATTTGAGAAAGCAAAGTGGCCAATTCGCTCATCAGTGAGACAATGTTAACATTGTCTCAATCTAATTAATTTGTCTCACTCCAGATTTACAACGTGAAGGCACGAAATAGTGAGCGCGTAACATGCAGACAAGGTCGTATGCGCGCGAAATACGTTGGCAGCACTGGCTGTAAATCAGCTGGTCAGCTGTTGTACTGTTGTATCATTAAATGTCATATTAAAATTTCACTTCTGTGTAAAAATATGTTACGTTTCTTAACAAATTTATTTGTTTTATGGTAACTGTAGGAAAAATATAATGTGCAACTCGAGTGCAAAGTGCAATTGCCTCACTCGCCTCCGGCTCGTGAGAAAGTATTTCTCTCGTGTGAGTTATTTGCTCACTTTGCTCACTAGTTGCACAAATAACTATTTCCTACAGTCACCTGACAAAGTTGCCTTCTTTGCACTGATTATAGCA